CAATCCAAAGGAAAGACTAAATCTGGTGACCTTCATAATATTTTGGAATACCCTTCTGTGTAAGGTGCTGGTTGGCAAACCCTGTCTACTCAGCAAACTGGAGGATCACTCCTTGGTTTTCTAGGACTGATTCACTGCATTTTCAGCTACTCGCTGCAAGTAGATGTAGCCCGCTGACAGTGAACTGTTAAGAAACTTTCAACTTTCACATTTTTGCCCCAAGAGATAAAACAAAATACCTGTCAAAATCAGCAAAATACGCTTTAAGCAAGAAGAAGAGCTACAAGCCTGGGTTTTCCCAAATTGTATGAATGAACACTTCCAACTGGGTCACTCATGGACATACATAGTAGATAGGTACATCATGCACACATTCTGCTCTGGGTCTCCAGATCAGGTAATGTTATGAATAAGCTCAGTGTGACAGACCACGAGGTTCGTTGTATTGTATTTCTTCTCCATATCATTTAATTTATAATCTCACGTATATAATTCCTGTGTAGGATAGATCTCTGAAATAGCATGAACTGATTTTCTGCAAGTCTTCGGCATTTACCGTGAAAAGGTAACACCATCCCTGTAACAGGCCATCGAGGCTCCCTCATTTTCTAGACGATCAATCCACAGATGGTGATGTTAGCCATACATGCCGACCACCCCTTACTCCCAGAAATATACCTGGTACACATTTCTGTTAACAGCTAAATCGACCCCACGGCCATTTCGCTTAGTGGGGGGGTGGAGTCCAACTGGGTCCATTCGGCACAGCAGCCACTGATTGGCCTATTGTAGCCTGCCCCGGGTGATTATGATGATGGAGAATTTGGTGGAATGAAAATTGGCAGGGGAAACTGAAGTACTCAGAAGAAACCCGCCCCAGCGCTATTTTGTCACCACAAATGCCACTTGACCAGACCCGGGATCGAATCCCCATGGCTATAGTGAGGCTGGAAAGATTAGTTCCTTTGAAGAAAATCGAATGACCTAATCGGGAATCGAACCCGCATAGTGCAATTGTATTTACCGTATGGCTGTTATATGCTGTCGACATTCATGGAAGTAATGTTTCAAATAATGAATAAATATTGTACACTACAAGCTTTTGCAAGGTCAGTGAATTAAATTAACTGTTCAGTAAATTCACTCATTTATCGCGCCACCGTCCGACAGGTCCGACACACGTCCCCTTTTATTCCCCCTCCCTCCTTCCACTCATAGTTGAATCGGTCTGAATCGTCTGAATCCACAGAATAGCTGGAATAGATCGGAATAGATCGAATAGATGAATAGATACTCAATGCGCTCAGTGCGGGTTAGTGCCGGTCGGTGTACGTCGTTTGAGGTCGTGTGGTCAGTGCTGCTTTGTTTGAACTGCAGACACGGGAATATTTCGTACTAAAATAACATGGAGGTTCACAATGAGTAGGTTAGTGGTGGCTTCAGCTGAGGTTACAGCTGCTCGTATTTGTCATTATTATCATCACCATCACTATTCCTCATAAACATGTTTTACAATGGGCTTCATAACCGTACTTGTTATGACAGACTGGTCAGCGGCCTCTATTTGTATGCACAAAAATAAATTTTGCACTCGTTTCCTGGATTTACATGTCAAAAGAAACGAAATGGTTTGATGCAAGCTTATGTTAATTTCATTTTCTCATTTCTGTGAAAATGATTGAAGTGTTAAAACAGGGTGCGAGGGGTGGACTGGATTTGATTGGCCCAGGAAAGGGTCCAGTGGTGGAAACTGTGAGCAAGATAGCGGTTCGTGAAGTTTCATAAATTTTAGGGAATTTATAGGCTATCAGATTGACTTAAATTTCTCGTCCGCTCCATGAAGTTCTTACTTATCAATATGTTGGGGAAAGGATGCCAGTACAAAGCAGGTGTCATCAGNTCAGAACATTAAATTCTACAAGAACATATGCATACTGACAAGAGCAAAATGTTTAGGCCTACATGACATTTATTTCAGAGTTTTTCTAGGATGTTCAGAATTATGTGTTAAACTGAATGTACAGATTTCCTAGGGTCATTACGCGCGAAGTTGCCTGTTTCTCGGGGCGGTCTTTGGTATAGTACTGCCATCTCTAGCAAATTTCATGTACTTCCTTTTCCAAGGAGGTTGGAATTATGGGTCGCATTTATCGACTGTACTCGAAACGTACTTTCTATATGATTTTATCGTTTACAGTCATTCAGCTGCGGTGTCGAATAAATATGTATAGATTATAGTGTACTAAGATAATTACACAACACTATAAATAATAGTTCCGAAACTGAAATCGTATGCTAACTTCAAAACAGTGATTTCTTTGGAGCCCTTGATAACGCTTTACGATAGTCAATTTTTCTTCTGAGTTTTGCACCGTGTATGACGTCACAGTCGTTGTTTTGCACTCGTGAGTGCCGCCATTGCGTGTAGGTGTTTTATATTGAAATGTGACAAATCCCCTTTCATCGGTTTCCCTATTCAACAGAAATTCTCATTGTCCCTTACATATAATTTAGCATAAACAACAAGATACGGGAAAGTTGTCCCCAGTATCTGATATGGCTGGTAAGTATTATATATGGGTGCGATTTGTTGTGAGACATAATTGGTTCTTGTATTTGAAGACGAAGATGGTTAGGTTCGAGTGGCTATTAAAATGAATGGTACATACAGTTGTATTATGTGGTGTCTTATGACGTACATGTGGGTGTGTATTGTGCGTATCGTAGGTCACTTTGTTTACCAATAATTGTGGTTAACAGGTAATGGGGAGATCCAGTGGTGCTTTTCACAGGTGAAAGGGACGCTTGATGACGATGTGACAGAAGGCAAGTTTTAAATTCTATTCCTGCATGGTTCTCTTAAATGATCAGCTCTTCGTATCGTGTGTATGCAAGAAATACATACAGTCGCATTCACGAAAATGTATGCTAGAAGCATGTTTGAGCGGAAACTTCGTAAGTGTTCACGTTTCATAAAGTGCATGTGTTTTGCATAAGCGTAAGTAAGTCCGATGTGTATTTTATAGTGGTTGCAGTGACTGATAGATTTACATTCAACCTCAAACACTGTATTTAATTAATATGCAAGACTTACATAAGGGGTTAAAGTTCAATGGAGTGCCATCAGAGAACCTAACTCCATGACGAATATAAGTAACAGCTAAACCGTTCAAACAGGGCTTAAGTAAGTCATAATTAATCTGTATTGGGAATATTTTTAGTGAGTATTTTCTGTTGCACTCATTGTAGATAATTTTGTTTTTATGCAACTATTTCGAGTTTTTAAGGTAAAAGTTTTATTTCTTCCAGCTGATATTATATCATGTGTAGAATTCAATCATGATGGGGACCTCCTGGCAACGGGAGATAAGGGTGGGAGAGTTGTCATCTTCCAGAGAGATCCTATTGTAAGTATTTAAACTTTACATACTGTTGCTTTAAACCTGTATCTAACAAGGAAACGAGTAGTAAATAAATGTATTTCCTGATGTGTCAGGCTTTGTGGGGTGTGGAGGTTAGGCATGGTGGTAGAAAGAAGTTAGTGATATTCCCACCTACTGCAAATTCTGGTCATTCAATAAGTAACACAAGTGCAGAGTTGTAAATGTTGTAGGAAGTCATGAGAATGACATGAACTGTATGGTTTATGAATTTTAATTTTGAACAAAGTTTTTAAAACTTTAAAAGAACGAGCACAACAGGGGATAATCGAGAGGAACTATAAGGTTTATGAATTTTAATCTTGAACAAAGTTTTTAAAACTTTAAAACAACTTCAAATATTTCTACAACCAGAAAGGCTGCTGTGACTGATAGATGGAACATTGTGTACTTGGCAGTACATGTGTAATTGATATGACAACTGTTGTGATAGTAGTTTCTAAAAAGTGTTTGGTGCCTCTGAAGATGATCCAAATGGATCGAAACATGTAAGGCTAGTGAATCATAAAGTGAGAAAGCTGAAATAGTCACACTGGACGGACTTGTCTTTTATAATTGTAACTGTTATTGTGACGGAACAAAAATGAAACAAATCAAATTCAGAGAAAAGATGAGATTGATATTGGTACAATGGTATTACAGAACTGCATGGATTTAGAGAGAGATGTACCTGGTTCGTGTAGTGAGACGTATCCAACATCTTGTCATGATGCAAATCAGGTCATGAATGTAAAAGTTGAGCAAATCTCAGATGTGGAAGAGGAAGAAGNGTCAGTTAACACCACATATACACGGCGCCAAATCCCAGAAGACTGCTTTCTTCATGTGTTGTGTTGTACATATGCCTATGTGTCTACTGTGATGCATATTCCAGAGATATCAGGAATTTCCTCTTGCTTTTCTCGTTTCCATCTGTCCATTTGTCTTTCCAAATTAAACATCTCGATACTGGTAAATAGACTTTAAACAATCCCTTCTGAAATATCTGAAGTGGAATTTATTCTGTTGCATGATGCTTGTGGCTTACTGTCATTCATTTCAGAACCTTCTGTCTTTCTGTTTGATATCAGACTACATAAGGATTAATACACACCAAATTACATTTATATGATGTTTTGTATGGGTGTGGAGCTTGGTTTCTCACTTTAAGGGAAGAACATATTGCCATATGCCCTATTCATTCAAGTTAAGCCCACTCATTCATTCATTTATTGTATATTCCATAAATCCACATACATAGATATAGAACCAGTCACATAGTTAATATAGTAGAATACAATTATAAATATATATGTACAGCTTATAATCATTATAATAGATAAAAAAAAACATGTGTTAAATTTACAGTCTTTCATCACTATACATAAAATTATGCAATATTAAAATTGTTGATGTTATTTTCCTTATTTATAGGCAAATTTGTTACTAAAGAATTCATCACATGTATAAAAAGAGTTGCAATAAAAATGTTATCAACTGAATTTTAACATTTTTCAAGTCATTAGACATAGATTTGATTTTTGGTGGCAAATGATTAAAGATCTTTACCCCCATGTAACATACTCCTGACACCAGTTGTCATGTGTTAGTACAAACAGGGTTTGGACTGATTATAAATTTATTGAATGCTCACTACTTGTAACTAAAAATGTGTGTAATGGTCTCAGTATTCTACATAATCTAGAAATAACTGCTGTTTCTCTCTTGCCTGTTGCTTGGTAGCAGTGTCTAACAGTGGGAATTCCCTCTAATGTTTGCGTGCTCATCGTCTCCTGTCCTAACTGACTACTGACCACCAACGGTAACTCTCTGTCCATTTCGTAATTTGCTGCTGACCTTTACAAGCACACTCATTCATGGTTTCGGGCCCTGTTAGGACCCATGACCAAATTTTTCTCTCTCTAGGCCAGGTGATGTTGAGTAAATTACTCATGGGTCTTGCCAGCACAGTCATTCCTGGTTTTGGGCCTTGTGGGACCCATGATCTATATGTTCTTCTGATTCACAGCTTTCTGTTTCTGTCCATCTGGCTGTCCACTAAATTGCTGTTGGCCTTCACCAGCCCAGTCATTCTTGGTTTCAGTTTCAGGTTTTGAGTAAATTGCTGCTGGTCCTCGCCAGCACAGCCATTCTTGGTTCCAGGCCCCGCAGGACTCATGACAATATTTTTCTGCCACCTGACTGCGACTGAGTCCTCTTGATCCTCCCTATATAACTTCATAATGGACTGCATAGAAAACACCACCCCCAACAGTTCCTCTATTCTTGTGTGCATATTTCTTGCCACAGTAACATGTTTACTGAGCCTTGGCCTAGCATTGGACATCTTCTCAGGCTCCCCTGTTCCAGCTCTCAGGTGTCATGTCACAGTACGTTTGTAGATAATATGATAATGGTGATGGGCAGAATATTTGGCACTATGAGGGAGGAAGAAACTGGAGTTGGAGAAAATTGAACGGTGATAACTTTGCAATTTTTGCTCATTACACAACTTTTTTTTACAAAGATCAGATGAAGCAAGATGAGATGGGTAGGTCGTAAAGCATGGATGTGAGAGATGAGAGATGTGTACAGAATTTTGGTCAGAAAACGTGAACGAAGAGACCACATAGGAGACTATGCCTAGATGGGAAACAATATTAAAACAGATCTTAACCCCCTGAATATTACTTAATCTCTGGAAGTAGGGACTAGCTATATCAATTCAACCTAACTGAGTAGGTTCCGCCTGAGGCCAGAGACAGAATCCAGTCTCAAAAACGTGTGTTTTAAATAAAAGCAGGGTGATAGATAATGTCCAGAAACACAGGTAACTAACTGTATTAATATACCATCACCATAAACTTTATTTCTTAGTTATGATCTTGACAGATATGGCATGTTCATATTAGTGGAAGTGTGTTGTATTTTATGTAATCAGAGAAAGAACCATGACTGTTATGAGTATGATGGTTTTACAGAATTACATGGATTTAGAGAAAGCTGCACTTGTATCATGTAGTGAGACATGGCCAGCATCTTCATGTGATGCAGATCAGGCCACAGATATGAAAGTTGAGCATGTCTCAGATGTGGAAGAGGAGGGGGATCCTGTGCAAATTACATTTCCAGGAATAAAGGCTGAACTTGAGGTGAGTTGTGTTAAGTAAACTGAAAAAGTATTTGAGACAGGTATTGCAGCCACACAGATCTTCCATTTTTTGTCATCCAGCCCTTGAAGTAGTTGTTGTTGTGATAATACATACAATTATTGAATTCCACATGTTGCTGTCTTGTCACCAGAATGCAGGAAAAAATCATGACATAAAGGCAGTTAACAGATCCTTTGAAAATGTGGCACAGTTCAGATATTTGTGAATTTTACATTTACATTTTCATTGATCCAATCACCTCCCCAAAGGGCTGGATATAAAACATGTCATACATTACAAATTCATGATGACCACACATCATACGCCCTTGGTCCAGTATAGTAAATAATCAGGCCTCATACAGACAGCACAAGTTGTCAAGACATCCCACATAAGCTGTGGAAACACCAGTCTCAGTATTAAATCAAAATTTGATTCAGGAAGAAATTAAGAGGAGATTGAACTCAGGTAATTCAGTCCATTCCATTCAGTCCAGAACCTTTTGTCTTCTCATCTGCTGTCTAAAAATCTAAAAATTAAAATATACAAAAGTACAATTTCTCCTCTGGTTTTGTATGGGTGTGAAACTTGGTCTCAGATATTCAGGGAGGAACATAGTACTGAGGGTGCTGAGCAGAATATTTGGGCCAAAGAGAAATGAAGTGATAGGTTGGAGAGAACTGGATAATGAGGAGCTTCAGAACTTGTACTCTTTGCAAATTACAATTAGAATGACCAAATCAGTGAGGATGAGATGGGCAGGGCATGTAGCATGCATGGGGGAGAAGACTGCATATAGTATTTTGATGGGAAAGCCAGCAGGAAAGAGACCACTAGGAAGACCTAAACTTAGGTGGGAGGGTAATATTAAGGTGGGTCTTAGGATGCGGTGGTATGGACTGGACTGATAAGTAATGAAACACGTATGACTTGTGACAAGTGGTTGACTGTAGACATGCAGACATTAGGGGAGAGTCGTGCAGTACCGGCCGGGGCTAATTTTCGATTTTGGCAATAGATAGCAGGAGAGTATGGTTGCCTAAAGTAAGCTTTTGTATCAATGTGCACTACGGCCCGGGGACTTATTTGTCTGTTCAGTATTTTGTCTTCAGTGAGAGAGTTAAGTTGTTTCATGAAATCTTCCTGTGAAAGAGATATATTCAAGCCTCAATTACTCCTTTTCAAGGTAAGAGGATAATTACAATTATAAATCAGTATTATCTACATTCTCTATGGCTACGAAAATAGTCATTAGTTTAACGATATTGTGAATAAGTTATGAGTTATGAGGAGTGAAGCTACCACGTGGTTATC